TTTTTTACTGTTGTGTAATGTGGTTAAGATTGCATATATGAGTCACGATTATATTTCTATTTTTCTTTTTTTACATATTTTTAAATTTTTAATTATTTATTATCATTTAAAAAAATTTTCCCCTTAACAGAGAACACTGGGGATTGAACCGAGGACCTTGTGCTCACTAAGCATAAACTCTGCCTCTGAGCTATATGCTCCCGGGCCCTGCCACAATTATATTTCTATTGGACAGCACTGGCTTAGAGAGAAGAGCTGCTGTTTTCAATGGTTTTCAGAAGCAAACTCTTTTTCTCATATTTCCTCTTGTATTGGTCATCCTACAGTGTTTCCTACGTGATTATTCTTCTAGCTCATTGAATAAAATTACATATGCATAAATAAACAGACTGAAAATAGAGAGTGAGGGCCATTGTTTTATCAATATGGAATCATATTTGATCCACTTTTTTACCCAAGGCATCTGATGGAAATTTCTCAGACCACCTGCTGAGGTTCTAATTCACCCTTTGTAATTGGTTGATAATCTCCCATGGTGTGGATGACCCTAAATTTATTGAACCACATTCCCATTAACAGGTGTTCACTTGGTTTACAAGTTTTATTCCCTCTGCTACCAAAAAGAAAAGGGGGAAAAAAGGCACTACAATAATAAATACTTTTATATGTATGTCCGTATACAATGATATTTTTATTTCAAAGGGAAATATTTCCAGAATGAGATTGATGGATGAGGGCTTGTGTATTTGTACTTTTAATAGATTTTTATCAGGTTGTAGATATCAATGAATTGATTCTAAAATTTATATGAAGAACAACCTTGGAGGACCGACACTACCCAATGTCAAGACTTTCTATAAAGCTACAGTAATCAAGACAGCATGAGACTGGCAAAAGAATAGATCAATGAAACAGAAGAGAGAGCCCAGAAATAGACCCACACAAATCTAGTCAATTGATCTTTGACAAAGGCAAATTCGATAGAGAAAGGACAACCTTTTCAGTAGATGGTGCTGGAATAACTGAATGTCCATACGCCAAAAAAAAAAAAAATCTAGACATAGACCTTACACCTTTCACAAAAAAATGAACTCAAAATACATCATCATAAATTACCTTGAATAGGCAAATTTATAGTGACGGAAAGGAGAATAGAGGTTACCAGAGGCTGGTGAAAGGGGATGTGGGAAGTTATTATTTAATGGGTACCGTTTCTGTTTGGGACGATGAAAAGATCTGGAAATAGTGATGTGATTGCACAACTTGTGTATGTAGTGAATGCCACTGAATTATATACTTAACAATGGTTAAGTAGTACATTGTACATTATGTATATTTCCCTCCCACCCCTCCCCATACACACATAGGCTCATAGACCTGGATGTAAACCACAAAACTATAAAACTTCTAGAAGGAAACATAGGAAAAAAATCCAGGTGACCTTGGGTTTGGCAATGGATTTTTCGGATACAACATAAAAAGCATTATCCATGAAAGAAAAAAAAGTTGATGCTGAACTTGAATAAAACTAAAAACTTGTGTTCTGTAAAAGGTGCTGTTAAGAGAATTAAAAAAAAAAGTCACAGACTGGAAGAAAACATTTGCAAAACACATACCCTCTCCCCAAAAAATAAAACAAAAGTTTTTAAAAGGGGGAGGAGGGTATAGCTCAGTGGTATAGCACATGCTTAGCATGCACGAAGTCCTGAGTTCAATCCCTAGTACCTCCTCTAGAAATAAGTAAGTAAATAAACCGAATTACCTCCCTTCCCCCACCAAAAAAAAAAGCAATAAAAAAATTTAATTAAAAAATTTTTTAATGTGGCTCTTTTTCAGTTGAAGTTTAGCTGATTTACTATGTTGTGTTAATTTCTGTGCAACATAGTGATTCGGTTTTACATATAGATATATTTTTTCATGTTCTTTTTCATTATAGCTTATTACAAGATACTGAATGTAGTTCCCTGTGCTCTACAGTAGGACCTTGTTTATCTATTTTACATACGGTAGTTTGTACCTGCTAATCTCAGTCTCCTAATTTATCCCTTTTCTTTCTCCCCTTTGGAAACCATAAGTTGTCTGTGTCTGTTCAATGTGGTTCTTTAATCATCTTTCTAATTTCATCTATATTCATTGAACTAATCAGATGTTCCCCTTGGGTCAGTAATCAGAATGTGCTTTTTTTTTCTCTCACAATCATTAATTTCCCCTAGGATTTTCAGAATGTTACCTGGAGCTGCATGTAGAATTCTCTTATTTAACTGTTTCCTTGTATGCTGGCACCTTATCTCCTTCAAGGTCGCTAAACCTGTTTATTTTTCTGCTCTGACTGTTACAAATCTATCAGGGTTTCAAGGAGTTATCTGTCTCATTTTTTTTCTTTTAATTTTTTTGGGGGAGAGGTAATTAGGTTTATTTATTTTTAATGGCGATACTGGAGATAGAACTGTTGTTTCATTGGTTTTTAAAGAACCCACTTCCTTAGGCACCCATTTACAACCTTTCCCCTCATTTGATTCATTTCTGTTTTTCATCTCTATCCATTCCATCTTCCTAATTTCTTTTTGTTCTTAGTCTAATTTGTGATTGTAGTTCCATCCTTGTTGCTTTTTTTTTTTTATTGAAGTATATAGCCAGTTACAATGTGTTGATTTCTGGTGTCCAGCAACATGTTTCAGTCGTACATATAAATACATATATTTGTTTTCATATTCTTTTTCATTATTATAATAATGGGATAATTAAGGCTCTGAGAATTTCTCCAAGATCAGTTTTGTCTGTTTCAGGGATTTTGATATGAAATGTTCTTTTTACTGTTTTCTGAATAGTTTACAAGGTCCCAGAGAAGATCCTCTGTGATCTGGGTGCCAGCCCAGTTGCATAAACCCAGGTAACTTGGAAGTTAGCCCCAGCCATGCCCAGCCCCCGTCCAGCCTCAGGCAGCAACAACTCCTCCCCACCTGGGTGCATACCGTCATTGGCAAATACTGACAGATGCTCCCAGAAACAGAGCTGGCACAAAGGCATAATAAAGAAGGGCATTTTTTAAGTGTACATTTCAGCAGCATTAAATGCTTCACATTGTTGTGCAACCATCACCACCATCCATCTCCAGAACTCTTTTCGACTTGTAAAACTGAAACTGTCCCCATTAACATTAACTTCCCACCCACCTCCCCGCGATTCGGAACCCCACCATCTACTTTCCATCTCTATGAATTTGACTACTCTGGGGATATCCTGGAAGTGGGATCATACAGTCTTTGTCCTTTTGTGACTAGCTTATTTCACTGAGCATCATGTCCTCAAGGTTCATCCATGTTGTGGCATGTGTCAGAATTTCCTTCCTTTTTAGGGCTGAATAATATTCTAATGTTATGGCTGGACTGCATTTTGTTGATCCATTCACCTGCTGATGGACGCTTGGGTTGCTTCCACCTTTTCGGCTATTGTGGGTAATGCTGCTCTGAACATGGGTGTACAGATATCTCTTGGAGGCATTTTTCCTTTTAATTCTTCTAAAGAGTAACATTTTCCAAAACCGTTCCTTGCTTTTAAAATGAACAGTGGATGGTGGACACTTTTGAATGAGCCAACAGAGTTGTGCTAGCTCCAAGATTAGCTCATGGGCTGCCCAGATTCAGTTCCTGGCTCTGTCACTACTTCTGTGACTCCAGGCAGATCTTATAATCCTTCAATACCACCTCAGTTTCCCTCCTGGTCTGTAAAATGGGGGAGAATTTCAGCACCTATTTCCCAGATCTAAATGTGATAAGCGAGGGAGGGTACAGTTCAAGTGGTAGAGCGCATGGTTAGCATGCATGAGGTCCTGGGTTCAATCCTCAGTACCCCCTCCAAGAATAAATAAATAAACCTAATTACCTCCCCCCACCAAAACAAACAAACAAACAAAAATTTTAAAAAGTGTGATAAATGTTTCAATACATATAAAGAAAAGCCGTAAACACAGGTAAAGCACCCATCACAGCACAGCACATCTAAGCTGCTTCTCTTGGGATGTTCTCCACCCACATGGCAGCCACAGGGATCCCCTTTCCTGGAGGGGCCACTGTTTTTATTTAACTGGACCACAATGGACAGACACTGACATTTTCTACCACAAATGATGCAGCAGGGAATCACCTTGTAAATCACCTTGTGAATTTCTTTGCACCTGCAAGTTATCTGCAGGATGCTTTACCAGAAAGGGGATGGCTGAGTTGAAAGGTGTGCGTCTTTCACAGTTTTATAGCTGGAGTCTAATTGCCCTCCTGAGGCTGTGTCCAGGGTTGGGTCACACCTGCAGTGATTGACAGGACTGGGTCCCCACAGCACAGCCCATGCCGTGTCTTCTCAAACTTTGCTCTTTGCTCTTCTGATACAGAGAGGACTGAAGAGAGGACATGACTTGATAGCAGACAGAGGAGGAGGCACTGGCCCTGGGGCAGATGAGGCTCTGATGTGCTGGGGAAGCAGGAGCCATGTGTGTGTACGTGGTGGGTGATCAGTGCTTAAGACCACGAGGAAGGAATGATTAAATCATCCTAAAGGCCAGTGAGTTCAGTTTGCAAAGGGCTCTGCGTCTCCAGCTAAGAAAATGAGCCCTCTTCAGGGCTGTAGGAAAGTATTGGCGGACTCTCAGCAGGGATGGGTGGCGCCATCCCACCTGTTCCAGAGCCATCTCTCTAGCCGCTGGTGGCAGGTGGGCTTGGGGGTGGGCTGAGTCAGGAGCACCAGGCAGGAAGCTGGTACAAAACTAGAAACAGAGGTCAAGGGTCTGGGTCCCTGGGGACCATGAGCTGTGATCTGTTCATAAATAGGGAAGAACAAATCTGACTCCATATTGGATCTGTTTCTTTTACTTTAAGTTTTGCAATCCATTGCTTTTGCTACAAGTTAATCACTAAGCGGATGTTGCCTATAAACTTATATTACACATAATGGCCCATCTCTGGGAACCCTGTCTCCCTAGTAATGAGCATTTAAATACCTTTGTTTAGCCCACAGGAAACACCCTGACCAGGCCCACCCGTGACTGACTGAAGGCAGGAAGAAATCAACACATCCCCTCTGGAGGCTGAAGGGAGCTGGAAATGCTTGACTTTCCTCCCTCCCCTTCTAGTCTAAAAGAAGCCTGACTTCCAACTCAGCCAAGATGGTTCTTTGGGACACCGGCCCACTGTCTTCTTGATCTGCTGGCCCTCCAGATAAAGTCTACTATTCCCCAACAACTTTTCTCTCGATTTACTGGCCTGCCGTGGGGTGAGAAGTACGAGCCTGGACTTGGTAACATGTTCTGGCCACCGCAGTGGCCCCAGGAACCTAAGATGTTGCACATGGAGGGGCGGATAAGCATTTGCTGATGGAATGAATGAAGGCAGGCAACACAGGTGGAGCAAAGAGGAGGGCTCCTCAAGTGTGTTAGACCAGGACCAGCAGTGGTGTGTAGAGGGCAGTGTCGTCTCTGACTTGGATATAAGAGCAAGGATTGCTGCTAAAGGAAAAAAGGTTGTAGGCAGCAGGAGGGGTAATGGGTTGGAGAAGGGTTTTCACTTTGGGTCTTCAGTGGAAGAGATGGTGAGGAACTGTGGAAGCTTGGTGAGATTTTGTTGGGACACTGGGGTGAGCAAAGGGAAGAGGAGGTGATTAGGGAGAGGATTGAGGGCTGAGCTGACCCAGACTGTGCCCCCTTGGAGCAGTGCGACTGTCGGCTGAACTGATGCAGATGTGCGGAGGCCAGTGGTAGCGTGCAGGCAAAGCACGGTCAGATGGGCAGAGGTGATGGGGATAGAGGGGTCATGGGGGTCGCTGAGGCTGGACTGACCAATGGGGAGAGGAGGAAGCAGTCAGGGAGCTGGAGGTGGATGAGCTGAGAGCACAGGGGTTGTGGACAGAGAGAGGCTGATGATGATGAAGTTGATGATGTTGATGATGAAGATGAGGCTGATGATGAAGATGATGAAGTTGATGATGATGATGATGATAGTGGCAGCTAATCTCCACCGAAGCCCTGTTCTGTGCCAAGTTCTGGGCCAAACACTTTATGTGCATTTATAACCCTGGTACAGGGCAGGTTCTATGCAAGGCCAGCTACATAATTTGTGGAGCCTGGTGTGAAATGAAAACGTGGGCCCCTTGTTTAAAACAACCCACCAGAAGTACAAAGCTTTCCCCTTTCTTCTCTAGTCTCTCTCTCGACTTGCCCTGGTGTCTTCTATGTCAAAGTAACATATTCACCTTTCCCATGTCAACCAAAGTAATGAGGACTTGACATGTTCAAACCGTAGCATGAGTTTTACCATTCACCTTTATGTTGTCCAATGACGGTTTTAAATGCAAATGGACGAGCATTTAACTTGTTTGTGACATCCACTCCACTGTACAGTTCAGATGTCATAGCTCGTCTGTGCACGCGGATTTTGTTCTTACCAGGACAGTGGAAATGCCTCCCAAAACGTTCACTTTTTTACTTGTGTTTTTTAGTTCGTTTGTTTTTGGGTTTGGGGGGAAGGTAATTAGGTTTATTTACTTGTATTAGTTTTTTTTTCAGTGGAGATACTGGGGATTGAGCCCAGGACCTTGTGCATGCTAAGCATGTGCTCTACCTCTTAGCTATACCCTCCCCCCTGCTATGTTCACTTTTTGATACACGCATGTTCTACCCACAGTCTTTCCTCTCAGCTGGTGAGTAAGGAAGGGCTGAAAGGAAGCGGAGCTGTGAGTTGTCCCGTCACTTGTCTAATTCTGTGTCATCCTATGCTTCAGTCGTTGGTTAGTATAGGACAGCTTCACGAATAAGAAAAGCTATAATGAGATTTCTTTTTTTTAATTGACATATGATTTACAATGTTGTGTTAGTTTCTAGTGTACAGCATGGTGATTCAGTTATACATATATATAGTCTTTTTCATACTCTTTTTCATTATAGTTTATTATAAGATATTGAATATAGTTCCTTGTGCTCTGCAGTAGGACCTTGTTGTTTAGGGTTTCTTCTTTTTTTAACCATTTAAAATTTTTATTTTTTGTATTTATTTTACAATATCATATTTTTATAAATTGAAGTATAGTTGATGTACATTATAATGTTACAGGTATACATTATAGTGATCCACAAATTTTCAAAGGTTATACTCCATTCATAGTTATTATAAAACATTGGCTACATTCCCCATGTTGTCAATACATCCTTGTAGCTTATTTTACACCTGAAAGTTTGTACCAATTAATCCTCCACCTCCATCTTGCTCCGCCCCCTTCCCTCTCCCCACTGATAACCATTAGTTCATTTTCTACATCTGTGAGTCTGTTTCTTTCTGCTAGATCCACTAGTTTGTTGTATTTTTTTTTAAGATTCGACATGTAAGTGATATCTTACAGTATTTGTCTTTCTCTGTCTGACTTATCTCATTTAGCATAATACCCTCCAAGTCCATCCATGCTGTACGCCAGAAACTAATACAGCATTTTAAATCAACTGTACTTCAATTAAAAAGCAAACAAATGACCACCCAAGCCACTTAAAATAAGTGCAGAAGAACTGAACAGATATTTTTCCACAAGAGGAAATGCAGACGGCCAGCAGGAACATGAAAAGTTGCTCAACATCACTAGTATCAGGGAAATGCAAATCAAAATCACAATGAGATATCATCTCACACCTGTCAGAGTGGCCATCATCAAAAAGAACACGAATAACAAATGTTGGCAAGGATGTGGAGAAAAGGGAACCCTTGTAACTGTTGGCGGGAATGTAAATTGGTGCAGCGACTATGGAAAACAATATGGAGGTTTCTCAAAAACCTAAAAACAGAACCACCATATGGCCCAGCAATTCCACTCCTGGGCATGTATCTAGAAAAACAGAAATATGAATTTAAAAAGATACATACACCCTGCTATTAACAGCAACATCATTTATAATTGCCAAGATATGGAAGCATCATAATGAGCATCCTACTGTTTAGGGCTTCTTGTTTCTTAGAACACTATTGCTTTCTTTCAAAGTTAGAAGTAAGTTCTGATTTGCATGGAAAGCCTTGTCCCCCGAGGCTCTCAGTGTCTCCACTTGCTCAGTACTGGATGTCACACCTCACGCCCACTCTGGGTCTTGCTGAGCTGTCGTGGGTCCACTGAAATTCTGGGCTCACGGGGCATCACAAACGGTGTCAGTGGATCTCCTCTGCTCACCCCATGCTCTGCTGCCCCGTCATACTTCATCCACAGAGCACAAGTTCAAAGGTAACATGATTAAAAACTTCCAGATGGAGGCATTTATGCTAAGTGAAATCCACCAGGTAGAGAAAGACAGATATTGTGTGATCTCACTTATATATAGAATCTGAAAAAAAGACAAACTCAGAAAGAAGCAGAGAGTAGACTGGTGGTTACCAGAGTCTGGCGGTGGGGGACATGGGAAGATGCTTGCCACAGGGAAAATAACTTCCAGCTGTAAGATTGACAACTTTGAGGCCTCATGCAGGACATGGTGATTATAGCTAATACTGTATCACATGCTTGAATGTTGCTAAGAGAGTAGATCTCAAATGTTCTCACCACAGAAAAAGAAACTAAGGAGGGAGGTGGTAGCCAACACTGCGGGGGTAATCATTTTGCAATTTACAACTGTAGCGAATCAACAGATCATACACCTCAAATTTACAATGATGTATCACTTGTATCTCAGTAAAGCTGGGGAGGAAAAAAAAATTTCCAGATGGCAACTGTAGAGCATTAAGCCAAGTGGAGGGCTCTTCTGAGCGCGTGGCCCTGGACAACTGTACAGGCCACATGCACGCACGCTGTAGTTCACAGATGGTGAAACAAGGAGGCGATTTGGCCTAAGTGTGCCCAGCTGGCAAGCGGCTGAACCACCAGCACACACTTCTCTCTCGTTAAAGCAAAATCAGGCGGCATTGTGGAGGCTGGGGTGAGGTTCTTCAGGCCAGTCCTGGGCATCCAGTCTCCGTGGACCAATTCAATAATCATAGCTTATTCTGCAACCTCATGTGCTTCCTTTTTGTAAGTCACGTTGTTGGAATTGATGGAGAGAGGGTGTGGATGTTGGGATAACCTGGGAGCATTTGTTCACACATGGTTTTTTCCTAGCCCTTTTTTTTTTTTCAGAATTAAAGAGAAAGTCTTCACAAGGTAAATGAGAAAAATCTTATTTAAAATGGAAAAAACTGAAGAGCCACAAAAATGCCTGCCTTCAGGATGAGTGGTAGCTGGGTTCCATGTCTAGGTTCTGCGGCTGGGTTTCACGTTGGGTTCTGTACCTGAGTTTTGTGGCTGGGTTTTATACTGGGTTCCTGGCTGGGTTTTATGGCTGAGTTCTGTGGCTTCATTCCATAGTGGGGATTTGAGACTGGGCTCCATGTTTGAATTCTGTGGTTGAGTTTTGTGTTGGATTCCGTGGCTAGGTTTCCTGGCTGGCTTCTTATGACTGATTTCGAGCTTTAAGAACCTCTAAACCTTCTGCTCTCTTGCCTGGGGAAGTTTCAAGTTCATGTGAAGACACAACAAAGACACTTTCCCCTCATTGAAAGCAATAAATTAATGAAGACATTCACAGGCCAGATCGGATTTGAACTAGGTTAACAGTGACCTCTCCTGGGAGTAATGCCTTCATCTCAAGGGAGGAGGCAGGTACCTTGAGTTTGAGGCCAGAGACTGGACACAGAAGCCAAGAGAGGTTTACCTAGGGTAGACTGGACCAGGATGACCGCTGGCTTTGTTAGTGCTCTGGGCACAAAGTGCTGTGGGCTTGGGTGTTCTGCCCTCAACCCTATTTCCCCCCAATTATTTTTGCTATTAAATGTAATATTTAATTTTCATGTAACATAATGTTATTATAATTAATATCCTCTTATAATATAAATGATGATATTTATGTTATAGTATATAAGGAATATAAGTAATATCCTGTTATTTTGGGAGTATGACTTTTCAGAACACAGGCTTTTTTCAGGAAAGCACTGGAATGTTCTGGAAGAAGTATCTGATGTGTGAGCATCTGTGTGCCAGGCACTTTCGAGGTGCTGAGGTCACAGCAGTGACCACCCTGAGCAAGGACCCTGCCCTCCTGGATGTGACACTCCAGGGGACATGGGGCAGATTTTATTTTCCAAAAATAGTGGTAACAATCTCTCCCATGACACTTGCTCTTCTTCAGTGTGACCTTGACACCCCTGGGCAAGAGCTGAGGT